AGGCAGACGGAGGCTCATCAGGCGATCGTGGATGCCCTGCGTCAGACAGGGCAGTCGTCTCACGATGTCATTGCGGATAGCGAGGGCGACACCCACGTCTCGTCGCTCTGCCTTGGGGCGACCCCTCCAGAAGAAGATGTAGCCGGCACCCACCTCCCCCAGTTGTCCACCTTGTAGCGCGCCAGTTCCCAAGCCACCAGCGCCGTCCTACGTTCCGGTCGATTGCTACTCCGATTGTCTAAAAGGGGACGAACATTCCAGGCTGCCAGAGTGAGCGGGCTCACCCTGCCAGTCTGTCGATATGGGTGGCGGGGAAGGGGAAGAAAGAGTGTTGTTTCGGATTGGGCTATTTCGACCGTGAGTTTAGCGTCTGCGACCACGGTCAGCCTACAGACGGCGTGGTTCCCCAGCAATCTTTAGGGCTCCTTTATAACCCCTTCCCCCTTGCGGGGGGCGAGCAGTGCTCTCTCTAAATGGGACTACTCAGTTGTCCCAGGCAGCTGCCGAACTCTACAATGGGCCACGAATTTCGATTGGTGGGAGAGCGAGCCGAGCTAGCCTGGGCCTGCCTACCACATCGCCCTAGGACTTGGAGGGCTAGGGAGGGGGGAGGGAGGAAGGGTAGAGAGTTGGAAATCAGCATTTTCCCATCCCTCTCTAAGCGAACAGGTTGCTGAAATATAAGCAGTGTGCAAACAAATTAAGAAGAACTGCAGTTGGCGTACAGGAACGACAAACCGAAACAAGCAGACAAAAAAACAAATAGTCAAGAACAGCAAAAAGTAAAGACAACAGAGGAAAGTCAATAGAACGGCATTTTTCTTTCAGCAAAGGCAAACATAAACAAGCAGACAGCAATCCAGCAAAGCAATGCTCGCTTACCCGTGGGTCACTTATCTAGTGGTCTCCTACGGTGTTGCAGACGGAGCCTCGTCTCGGAGATGCCGAGACGGTTGTCCATCCGGCCAGCGGAGCCGAGTTACCGTGTGCGGAGATGCACACACAGATACCCCTACCTGATTTGACCCACCGGTCAAGGCGGTTGCCGAGGTGTGGCCGTTAGGTAAAACCTAGCTTCAGAGAGCCACAAGTGAGAGCTGAGTGCCAATAAATGGACGCTAGGCGTAGCCTATACCTGCAAGCCATGGAAGCGACCTACTACGACCTCCACACGAACCACAGCTGGACACCCCTACGCCCCGGTGCCCCCATCCAAAGCAACGAGGACCGTCATTGCCCCCGGGTACAGTGATGATTCGCACTTGAATCTGATTACAGTGAGGTTCACATGGGCAGCGTCGACATAACCACTCTCTTCCCATACCCTTTTGTTTAAAAGGTAAGACAAGATCAAGACAGTTCCAGATGGATGCGGTATTAGCGGCTAAATTTACAAGATTATTTAAGTGCCACACACAGACCCAACGAGTCGGTCCAGATTCCACGTACCAATATATCATAACAGAGGCAGTAAGCAGGAGCCATTGAAAAGTGCTCTTTGGTTCGGAGAAGGATTAGTTTTCTTGCGATTCGGTAAAACACCAAAACATGGCTTTTGGACTGTCCTGACAGGTCAAAAACGCTTCAGATTTATAATAGGGAGAAGAAGTCTCAGGCTCAGTCTCTTTCGCTTTCTCACTTTCTCTGTCCTCTTCTTTAGGAACCAGTGGCGAGACTGTGTGAAGCTAACTGAAAATGATATCGTACGCAATAACTGAGAGGTAATAACGCCCCCATTTCTCGTGTTTCGCGCAACAGCATCCAGCAAAATTATCATGATAGAAATGCAAGTTGATAGATGTTTTGGAAGATTTTGAATAATTCCTTTTGACCCAACTGTAAGAACTCGGCAACCCCGGTGAGATTCGAGCCCACGACAGCAAGGGGAAGGCTTGAGTACAGCCAACACTCTAGCCGCCTGAGCTACGAGGCCCCACCGGGAGCCATGAGTTTAATCACATTTGGACCAAGTTACTTGCCCAGCCTATTGCAACACCTAGAACGCTATAGCCAAGTGGTCCTCGAACAGACTTTCCTCTCTCGTCTATTCATGACTTAACACTTCGAAAACATTTACTTAGCGTCACAATGGGCTTTAACCTCAGGTATGTGGTGAAAGGCAACAAAACACGAAAAACCCAAAATTCGGAAAATTGAACAGTGACTTGGAAG